CTGGGCGTGGATGTATTGAATGTTCTGCTTGACAGCTTCTCTCCCAGGGTGTTTCAGTGACCTAGAGTGGTAATGGAGAAATGTTCCTTCTTGTGTTAAGCTGGATGGGTTTAGGAGTGGGCTGCCTCCCCAGGCTTCTGGGCATTTTTAAGTGGGCGGTCCCTCTGAATCCCGCTTAGTAGGTTTGGGCTGAGTAGATTGTTACTCTGCTTAGAGTGTAGCTGCCTGTGGATGGTTATGCTCAAGCTTGCTTTGCTCTGGAATATAGCAGTCTGAGGGCAGCTTTGTTCTAGCCTGGAGTCTATGACTAGGTTGGGTTCCCCTTGGCACAAGCTCTCTCAGGTAAGCGCTGATATCTTTGCAAACTGCAGCCTTATCTGAGGGAAATGCTATTTGAGGATAGCTGTGTCCAGCCACCTAGTGTTATGGCCATGATTACATTAGGTTTTGATCTCGGACTAATGGTATTTTATGTGTTCGCTCTTTAGCGAATCATTTACTATGGTCTGGATCTTCCTCTTGTGAGCCTCTGTAGACTCAGCCTACAGTGCTCACTAGCCTACTGTGGGACTGACACTGATTGGGGACCGACCTCCTTAGTATAGCCATCTGAGGATGGTTATATTTCAGCCATTGTTATGGCAGGACAGGCTTACTTGAATACAGCTATCTGAGGCTAGCTGTGTTTTACCTTGCCCTTTCCCAGAAACATAGCTATCTGAGGATAACTATGCACTAGCTCCTTGAGCCCTGCCTAGATAGTGCTGTCTCCCTTTATGGGCTCTATAATTAGACAGCCCACTGCTGGTGGTCTTGGCAGTTGCAGTGGTCCCCTTTCCTACAGCCTAGCTATTTGAGGATAGCCATGTGCTAGCTCGGTCATTGCTCATCTACCTAGGGATTTTAAGTAGCGGTCTCCTTGAGCCCTTACCTAGACAGTGATGTCTCCCCTGCTAGGGTTTTAAGTAGACAGCCCACTCTTTGTGGTCTGGGTAGTCACAGTCGGTCCCCTTCTGGTAGCCTTCCTAGGTACATAGCTATCTGAGGATATCTATGTGCTAGCTCAGAGAATGCTGCCCTTCCTAGGGTTTTTAAGTGGCGGTCTCCCTGAGCCCTTGCCTAGACTGTGCTATCTCCCCTGCTAGGGTTGTAAGTAGATAGCCCATTCTTTGTGGTCTGGGCAGCTTCACTGGAAGGTTTACCTGTCTATCTAGTAATGGTAGACTATTAGTTTTTGGTCCTGTCGTGTAGCCCCTTCCTAGGTATATAATTATCTGAGGATAGCTATGTGCTAGCTCATTGACTGCTCCCCTTCTTAGGGTTTTTAAGTAGCGGTCTTCCTGACCCATTGCCTAGAGAGTGCTTTATCCTGCTGGGTTTGGTCTGGGCAGCTTTTAGGAAGGTTCATTTCATAAGACCCTTTGGATATAGCTATCTGCGGATAGCTGTGTTCTAGCTGGGATTGTTAGTAGCAATCTTTCAGCTCCTCTAGGTTTCCAGCCTCTTCAGTGGTCTTATGTATCATGGCTACTATTGCTCACATAGCATAGCTATCTGAGGATGGTTGTGTTCCTAGTT